AGTCTGCACATTTTTGATTAAAATGAGCCAGCTCCCAGCTCTACACGACCTTTCTTTGCAAAGTTATAGAGTTACAAGAAAAGTCTTAAATTAATTTTTTCCTTATTTCTGTAGCTTTGAGCTGACAATGAACATTTAGGACTTTTCTTGTAAATTGTATAACTTTGCAAAGAAAGGTCGTGTAGAGCTGTGAGCTGGCTCATTTTAATCAAAAATGTGCAGACTACAATTATGACTTATTAAGAAAAGTTTTGGTTATTTTTTAGAGTTTCTGAAAAACTGGTTTTCCAGAAAACGGGTCGCTGGAGCCCTAACTGCACGTCTCATGTCGATGATATTCGGAATCAGTATGGTCGATTACCTAGCACCCACTAGATTTCGTCTCAAAAGCGACTGGACAGTTGGTGGACCTTCCTCGTAAGTGTTAATTTGGGTCAATTCTCAAACTCATGAACTTAAGAATATTGATAAAACCTTAAACTATTAGATACCTTGTTTACTTTCATCAACAAATGATTCATCACCAATTTCATCTTGGGATAAACTTCCTTGACTACTAGTTGAATCAGTCATTTTAACAGTGGAATTCCTGAAATAGATGGATAAATATTAAATTGAAGATCTAAACATGCAAAATTATGAAGAAGAAAATCGCGTTCTCTACAATTGGAGCCCCATCAAATATTAAAGATCTTTTTAATAAATCACCTTTTTTAATAAATTCGATGTCGAGAAAGAGATGCACATTCGTTAAAGTTGTAAACCTGCACAACTACATCATGAAACCAATTTATAAACAGTTTTTTATTATCAAATTCTTCAAACACTGTACTGTTTATAGAGGAGGTCAAGTTCCCTATATGAAAAAGTTCTAGAAACTTCCGAACAAGTTTTCATCGATTTATAACTTTTTTATCTTGAGCAATGCGTCAATTTTAACTGTATAAAATATGCAACTTGATAAATAAAGTTTAAAAAAAAAATATGCCTAACTCGGAGTTTCTCACGTAAAAGTTTAATTAATGTGCCATAAATGTTTTTGATTTGATATTAAAAAAACTTGAATAAAACAAAAATTATCTGCTTAGTAATTTTTGTTGTTCTGTTGAAAATATATAGTTGAAATTAATTTAACAAAAGAATTTGCTAATATAGTACGTATGAAACATCGAGTGAAAACTTACTCTTCCGTGATAATATTCGATAAAGACTGTTGTTTATTTTTTGTAAATAATTGAGAATCAAATATCTACAAAAAATGATAATCATTAAACAGACAAATACAGATGAAAAAATGTTTTACTAACTGATATATGTGGTTCTGCTGTTTCCCATAAACTTCTTTGACGTTTGAGTAATGGTTGATGTTCATCATTGACAATCTCTGGCATCTAAAATAATTCGTTTAAGAATTTATTTTTGAGCTTTATCTATGTTTTCAGTTTATCTGAATTCATACCTGTTTCGTATTTTGAATATACTTAACCTTTTCTTCAATTATTGATCTAAAAAGAAACAGCTCCATGTTTTATTGCAATTGTAATAAATTATCAAAAATCTCACGTTTCCACATCATTATTTTTCAATTGTGATGGTAATGGGGGCGTCTGCAATGATGTTGGAACAATAGCTAATTCACTGGTATTCCATACAAATATGCAACTAAAATAAAGAGAAAAGAAAAAAATAAAAGAAAACAAAAAAACTCGACATAAGTAAAATCAACCTGTCTCCACTAATTGTATATAGATAATTTCCATCTTGACTAAATTTAATATCCGTAACGATTTCTGAATGTCCACAAAGACTTGCTATACATTCATTGCTAATTATGTCCCAGATGTAAACACATTTATTTGAACAAGATGTTGCCACATATCGACCAGATGTATGAAGATCAATTTTAATCAAATATCCGGTATCACTATCGCCTACCGAACCTTTACATGTTCGAACACGTTTACCATCAAGAGTATTGTACACTCTAAAAAAATGAAATAGATAAAATAGTTCATAATATTCGATAGACACTGTGATTTTCTTGTTACTAAACTATACTTACCTAATCATTCTATCTTGACATGCTGTACTAACTTCATTTCGTTTTCTATCAACAACCATATCATAAAAAGTTTGTTTTTCAACAATATTATTTGAACGAATAAATTGATATTTTCCATTTTCGTTCTAAAATATTACTAAAACATTTTTATATGTATAATTGATAAGATTTTATGAATTTTACTTTTGTTATTGTTCGAAATATTAGAGATTTATCTGCTGAACATGAAATTAATTGCATTGTCATTGTTAATGACGAAATAATAGATGAAAATCGTACAGCCGTTATTGCTGCTGAATGATCATCTAATGTGGCAATAAGTTGATAATCTTTTATAGGATCAAATATATGAACAAAACGATCACGACTACTCGATGCAAGAAAATAGAAACCCATTTCCGGTTGACTATAATCGATACTTAATACTTCACTATCATGAGCTTCAATAATAAATTTTTGTTTTAGTAATATTAAATCAAATATTCTACAATAAATAAGAAATATAGACAGAAAATTTTGATAATGGATGTTAAAAAAACAAATTATTTACCGTATATTTCCATTTCTATCGCCAATGGCTATAGATAAACCATCTGGACTTATTTTCAAACATCGTCCACCCGTTTTTATAGAAGATTCAGATCGTTCTAAATAAATAATTAAATAGAATTATTTTTATAATTAATTACAAAGTAATATCTATTACCTTGACTAGTTTGACTATCACATAATTTTGAATGATCATCATCAAGATAAATAATTTTCATTAATTCTTTACTAAATATATTTGTTGATTTAGATAATAATGTTGTTGTAGAAGAATTTAGTGACCAAAAACGAATAGAATTATCAGATGAACATGTAATAAATGATAAATGTTGTAATAAAGGTGATAATGAAAACATTTGAAATTGTGTTGAATAAGGCTAAAAATTTGTTAATAATAATAAATATTTTAATAATAAAATGAATTTTTTCTCATATTTATTACCTCAATACTCCATCCACAAGCAGAATGATAAAGATGTGAGTCAAGTTTTTTCACCGATTCTTCATAAGTAATATCCCATATATAGAAGCTATGATCACTATAGAAACATGTCACCTGAAAATTAAATAATAAATAGAAAAAAAAACCGGAACTTATGTATTAATGAAATTTTGTCCTCTTATTTGGATATTGTACGTTTATAGTAGAAAACAGTGTCTAAACTATTCTATTCACTTACTATAGAATTATCTTCATCTAAACATAAAGCAATGGCATCAGGAAAATATTGAGTATTTTGTGGATAAATGAGTTGACTAAAAAAAATCAAAAATCAAAAAAATAAAGTTAAAGTAAATGAAAATATGACAAATTTTTAGAATATACATACTCAAGTGATTGTATAAATCCAATATCGACACCAAGATAATGGGGTCTTGGTAATGACATAATATAATCGAGATTTTGAGTTGAAAATAAAAATATACTTCCATTTGAACAACCAACAATTAAAAGAGTATCACCAATAGCTAAACAATTTGCTTTTTCCTATAACATGAAGTGAATATATCAACAACACAAAATCCAAATTAAATCACAACAAAAATGGTAAGAGAAGAGTAAATCGTTATCCTAGGCAAAGTTGACTCTCAAATATACAAAAAATCAATTTTATAGTAGATTCGTTACCTTCAAATCTTTTTCAGCACATATTTGTCGATGTTCATTAAATTGTGATACTAAACCATTATGTGTTATTGTATAAGTCATATTTGCACAATCACCTCTTCCACAAACAACATCCGTAAATATATTATCTTTTCGTTCAGCTAATATTGCTAGACGACCTTTTAATGGTATTACTTCCAACTAAATATAAAAAATAATTAAAATAAGTTTAAAATTATTATTTTATGTATAATACGAACAGAAGGTGCTGCTAAATACCAAAATTTAACATGACGATTTCCAACTGTTACAAAGTAACTTCCATCTTCAGCAAATGCTATTCGACGAACCTACATAAAGAAATTAGATAGAAAAATTAGGTGAACACTCCATCCACTGAAAAATATTTCAGAAAATCCTGCATTTTTTCATCTGATAAAAATGCGTGTTCTTACACTTTCTACGCGAAATCACGAAGAGAAAATTTCTGAGCTGTTTTAGATGAAATGTACAGATTGTTGTTTGCCCTCAGTTATTTTTAGCGAGCCCTTCATATTTCTAAAAAAACTCTTTTCAAATCAAGAAATTAATCATACAGTCGCATGGTTATTTCAATACTAGCTCTCGCTAAATAAATGAATTTTTAAGACATACAAAAGCGTAAATCTTCAGCTACACGTTAAAAAAGTTTTCTTTTTAAAAATCGACTTTTCCAAAATTGTACATTGAAATTTTCAAAATTTAGAGAGAAAATCTTCAAAGAATAAAAAGTTTTATTTAAAATTTGGATGAAAGTTAACTCATGTGTTCATCTGTTTATGGAGAGTTAGCCTTAAAATAAACATGTGACTGTACGACTAATTTCTTGATCTGAAAAGAGTTATTTCAGAAATATGAAAAGCTCGCTAAAGAGAATCGAGGACATTTCACGAAAAATGAAACAATCTTGCGCGTATCATCTAAAACATCTCAGAAATTTTCTCTTCATAATTTTGCGTAGAACGTGTAAAAATACGCATTTTTATCAGATGAAAAAATGCAGGATTTTCTGAACTTTTTTTTCAGTTAGTAAGAAGCGAATGATGATACGTACTGCACATGTGCATTTATTTGACGCTAATTTCTTTTTTTCTTTCCATCCCCAAACACAAATCGATCCATCATGTAATGAACCAATTGATACCAGACGATCGACATTTGGACAAAAACCCTGGAGATAAGAAAAGTACAAAAACTAATTTAAATATACAGACAAGATATCAATTTAAATTTTTTATATACCACACAATCGATAGCAAATTTATGATCACCCAATTCAACACATTGTGATTTATCATTAACATCCCATACACGAACTTTTGGCTCATGGCCACACTAAAAAAGAATAAAAAAACTGACTAATAGTAAAAGAACATCTTCTATATTGGAAAGCCTCAAATGTCTAAGTTCATTTTAAAGAAGTAAAAGTTGATAACTAACATTGAAGAAGAGAGTTAACTGATTTTGATAATGTTTTAGTTTTTAATCAAGAATAATATTATCAGTAATCCATTGAGAATAAACGTGAAGATGTTAACATACTTCTCCAGTGACAAGAAATTTTCCATCTGATGATAAAGACAACGATGTTATAGCTTTTCTTGCATTATTAATTATAAAATCTTGTTTTTGACTAGCTATATTGTATAGAACAACAGATGAACTAAAATAAAGAATAAAATTGTCATTTTGTATACTGATGAAACCTACATGTATAATTACCCGGCTGCATAGGCTAATGTTGTTCGATTTTGACTTACAAGTGAATTTGAAATTGATGTAAAGCCTAGTACATGTTCAAGATTAACTTGAAACTAAAATAGAGGAAAAAAAACACGATTTAATTAATGGATCTTATCTTAAATAAATATGAAGAAAATTTTTTTACTCTTGACGATGTATATAAATCAGTTTGTCGTTGTACTTTTCGTTTTAATGCTGAATAGGATGTCATTTTACGTCGAATCACTGATGAAGAAGATGTTGGTAAGATAATAGAATGTGAGGATGACGTCGAAAGAATTGAATCCTGTGGTGTTGTTGTTGAAAATAATGGTATTGATGGAACTGGTGATATTCGGCATTCAGGAATATGTTTCAATTTTGTCTCGTCTAAACAAAAAACTATACAAATGTTAAGTTAAAAAGCAGAAAAAAATTTATCAACAAATAAACATAAATGACTAATTTTAAAAAACCTGACGATCACATAAAAAAAATCAATGATCACATCATTTTAAAACATGAAAATTCAGATAAATGATTTTTATGATTTATAAATTTATTAGTAGTCGAATCTATTATTGCAAAGTCCACTCTCAAGGAAAAAAGTTAGATTCTCTGTGTCCATCACTCTGTACTATTTCTTCTTTAAATTCGAAAGAAATAGAAAATAGAAAACGAAACAGAAAACAAATTGGTGTGTATAATTAGATTAGGCAAATAAGAAGCAAAAAGCGAACATAAAATAAACAAAGCGAAGGCAAATTTTGATGATACTAGTAATTATATGAAATAAACGATAATTTTGATGGATAAAAAGTATAGTGGCAAAATGATTTTACATATATGAAAATAAAGATAACAATACATGTGCAAAATCGACAGGAAGAATATACTCACTGTATGAACAAGAATACTTAGCTACTTTTTTTTGTAAATGTTTTATAATAGTCAAAACAATAGATAGGATATTTTCATCAAAATGTGAAATTACTATACCAAAGATAAAGCAGTCTAGTTCAATATAATAATGCAAAAAAAAAAGTGATTATATTTTTAAAGCCGTGTATTTTACTTTCTATATGTCATCTGAGAGAAAAACGTTCTACATATGTTCTTTAAGTGTTTTCAAAAGGTCTGTTTTACGATCTTTTTTTTTCTATACATCATATATAGGTAGAAAAGTGTATATATCTATAGACATAATATGGACTTTCCTCAATATAGTATTGTACTATTTTTCGCCTTCACATTTTATGTACACACTCTTGTTCTTTTCATATCATTGCCACTTAAATAGAAGTTTGATGTGTGTGCTCGAAGTGTAAAAATGTATAATGATATGCTTATACGGCAGACATGTCTCATAAAAAGTATAATTGTCAACAACTTACATACACTCACACTAGTATTAAACGGGGGAAACGAGAGAACTATATTCTCAAATGCTAATCTCAGCTTAAATGTTTTATTTTTAGGAATAAAAGAAAATCTAAAATAAAATTTTAACATTTTTTTTTTTTTTTTTCTCTACTGTGTAGATAAAATGTTTTTTTTTCACGTAATAAACTATAATAATAATAATAATGAAAAAAATACATAAGCTGATTATATTTGTAAATAACAAACAGGTGTACAATATGAATAGTCTCTAGTTTTAATAAATTTATTCCAAACAAGAGATGAGAAATCGAATATTGAACTACACTTTTAAAACATTAAACAATTATTTAGATAACGATTGTATGATGAACAAAAAAAATCTTAAATTATAGAGTGGTTTTATATCAATCATGGATACAGTTTTAGCAGTGCAATTTAAACATAGACTAATGAACATAAAATAATATACAAACTAAAGCACAAGCAAAACACAGGTAACATGATCGTTTGAGAGATAAAATGTACCGGTCTAGACTACTCACGACAGATCCTCTACCTCTTTAAGTGAGTGCATCTATTAATTGTCGTTTGTAATCAAGAAAGAGGTATCCGCCTCAAAGATTTTTCTGTGATTTGGAACAAAACAAAAACATTGAAGAAAGAGCATTTGAATTAAAAGCAACAGAAGAAAAGCATTTGGAAAAGTGAAAAACAACATTGATCAGATAAAATAATTATTACTTTTACTATAAAATTCAATACTATAAGATTGTCCCATTTTTTACTTTCTAAAATTAAAGATGTCTATTTGGATAAGATGTTTATCAATCAAAGATTGATTAAATTTATCTAAAAATAATTACCTTTTTTGTTATTTGCTAATCGTCTTAATAATTTAGCTGGTTTTATTAATTTTATTGTTGAATTTTTTGATAATGAAGAAATTGTACTATTATCAATTGTTATACGTTTATGACGCATAATTTAGAATAACAAAAAAATGATGAAAAAGACAACATAGAGTAATGGGAATAGTAGAAGAATTTTTAAAGAATAAAACAATTTTAAACAAATAGTATTGTATATTGTTTATTTGATATACAGAGCAGAGCATGTATATGCATATGATTATATCATCATCATCATGATCATCTAGAAACGAACAAGAAGAAGAGAAAATATACACTATGATGGCTTTATATGTCATGTAAAAGTCAACACAAGAGAAAACGTATTTGAGATGCTCTTTTTTTTTTTTTTTAGAAAGAAGATGCTACTTCAGAAAATGTGTGTATGGATCAAAGGATCAACCATACGATACGGTCAGACGAAATAGCAAATATATTTCTCTTTGTGAGAAAAAGTTCACTGATATGCTGATGCGATTTACAGACGTACTGATATTGTGAATCTTTTATTCAAACAAGAACAATAGAATACCGTTGGCTGTTATGAAGATAAAACTATAAGAAGGTTAAATAAAATAAAAAATTGGTAAAAGAAAAATGTCGATAAATGAAACAACTCGATTATTTCTTTTGATATAAATTACCATTTATAACAGGTTTTCTTCTTAAATGTATGTGTGATTAAACCACACTTTTGTAAAGTTTACAGAAAGGAGAAATAGAAAGGAAAACACCTTAAAAATGAGAACATTGTCACGAACTGACACATCTATGCCAATATTTTATTTCAATTTAAAAATGGTTGCGTGACATAGTAAAAATGACATTGGGGAAAAAAACTATTCGTCTCATATTCTCCCAAATGAATTTTCTCGTCATTTTTTTTCTTTCACTATCTTCTTATCTTTCTCATCATATTTTAACAAAAATTAACTACATATTTTTCTTCTTCTCTTTTTTCGTTCAGAAATTTTTTTTTATTAAATCTTATAGTTTAGATATTTTATTCTATTAATTACAATAGAACATGAGTATTACATTTAACACATAGATATAACTCAATATATTGTGAATAAAACGATATATTTAATAGTATACATATCTATCCTATTGTGTTTATCATTTCTCTCCTTTTTTTTGTTTTTCTTTCACCCGATATATATTTTACAATGAACATATCGATTGTGCTCACCTCCATACAATGGCACTTGTACAATATACATGAAAATACATCTTTCTAAGATACTGCTCAAATAACCAATACGTACAATGCAGAGAAGGGGAAGTCCGCTGTTTTTTCAGTCCCAGCCAGGGGTGTAAACAAATTTTTCTCTCTGAGATAGTGTAAAATTGATAAAATAACAACAGTTTTGATTCTCTCACACCCTCCCGTCATTGACGACCCGAATCTCAGTTCGAGTCAGAAATTTTCTCCCATGTGCTCTTTTGATTACATGTTTTGTCGTGTATCTTTTTACCGATATGATACTGTTTCTTCAAATGTCGATATCAAAGATTTTTCTCTCTACATTAAAATCCATAAATTAAAGAACTGATCTGAAAAATCAGTCACGTCTGCGAAAATAATCAGTTACAGTCCAGATTGGGACTTGCTCATATCAGACGTACAGTTAACTTTCAATAATATCATCGAATTACTGTAGACAGAGAATCTTCAATCTCTTTATTAAAATCAGATGAAAAATTTTACTTACCCAAGGATCTTTGCATTAAATCACATGGTATAAAAAGGCTCAGTCTATGATTATTGTATCGATGATTATATGTGAGTGTCGGTGCAGCTGTTACTGCTGTCATGTATTTTTGTTTCTTCCTTGACGAATAATAATAATACTAATACTAATAATAGTATAGATGGTTGTACATATTTTAACTCAGGTTTCTTTTTTTTTCTCAAAAAAGTTTGTATCAATTCAAAATATACCTACTACTACCACCACTACTACTACTGTATACAGAAAGATTTATGTATGTATTACATTCTGACTCTTTTTTTTCTACTCTTCTCTTTCTTATATTTTTCATTTCACTGTTCATATGGATAGTGATGAGAAGAAGAAGAAAAAAAAAATTAAATACAAAACGAAAAATGATTTTTATTTTTATAGTGATAATTTAACAGAAAACTATTCGAATACAATCGCATGTATTTTAGAGTTAGATTAATCAAGAGTGGTGATGATGAGTTAGAGTAAAAAAAAGCACCTGACTGTATGTGTGTGTGTGTGTATCTAATACATGAGTATAAAATCTATATATAATTTTTTTCTAAATAGAGCGACACGTTTATAAATAGTAAAAAGAAGGAGAATTGATATTGATGATAGTAGAATATGAGAAAAGAAAAATAAGGTAAGGCTATTTTCTAAATTAATAGCCAGAGAACCTTTAGGTGACAGAGAAAATATGTTCTAGTTCTCAATCTAGATTTGAGAGAGAGAGAGACAGAGTGAGATCTTTTTTTTCTTTTAACAGTTAGAGAATCATAAGAAAATAATTACATAAACACCAGAAGCCAATTAGATCAATTTTTGTGATTGGTAAAACTACACGCAAAAAAACAAAATATGGTTTTATCATTAAAATTGTTTGTCAAGATACAACTGTCACAATTGTTTGCTCTGGAAAATTGAGATACTATAAAATTGTAATTTTTAGAAATTATGTACTTAACAATTAAATAAACATTTATTTACAATATCTACAATGGGATTTGATAGTTATGTTAAAAAGAAACCGCTATCTCATTAAAATTAGAATCAGTAATCTGTACTGATAACTCTGAATAGCAATAATTGACTTTTGTCATTTTATGTTTCATATCAATATAACAATATCAACACAATATATCTACTTTTACGGTTGGAAAAAAATGAGAAAATAGCATCTGTTTCGTTCGATAATTCGAACATATTCTCAATTATCATTGAAAATACAAAGATAAGATCAATTTTTACATCCTTGTATAATTTATTTAGTAAAAACCGTTAAATTTTATTCTTATCAAAACATACTGAAATAATTCAAATTTTTCAAAAAAACTACATAATATAAATAAAATTTGCACATGCAAAATATTATAATAAAAAGTCTTTTGATAAAAATATAATGAGACTGAAAATTGGATCATTTAAGGCTATAAATATTGAAATATGAGAGACAGACAATTTATGTCGATGTTCAAATAAAGAAAAGTTCAATCTATTTATTTATGTTCGTTCAAATTTAAATTTCATTATACAATTACTTTATGTACTTGTACAAGTACTTATCACAATTTTTTTTTTGTTTTAATATATATACATTGAATGCTATGAATTTCACAAAATCAGAAAAAAAGAAAAAGTTTTTAACATCAAATAAAATACACATGTTTACGGAGGATAAAAATAAAAGGAAGGACAATTTCCTGCATATTGTATTTATGTGATGAGAAAAAACAGAGAATTTTAAACTGTTACATTTGCTCTCTTGTCCTTCTCTTATTTTATCATTCCACTGTATGAAATTAGTCATTTAACACATCGTTTACATAGAGAGAATACTCAAGCATACATATGTCATTCATTCATTCATTCATTCATTCATTAGATAAACAAAAAGAAAAAAAGGAAAAGAAAAAAATCTTTATCTTAATGAATTGAAGTTGGATGGATAATACTTACTGCTGATTCAAAAAATGAATGATACTGATTAAATAATAATAAATTTCTTATTCAGATGGGAATTCGTCTGAACTATATCAACAGCAATAAAATAATATAATAATTCAATTCAAGAAATTATCTGTTTTCTGTTACGATTTTAAATTAACAAAAAAAATTTCTGAAACATCTGACGTTGAGAAAACCACTGACATATATAAACGACCGTAAAGCCATAATGATAAAAATCTAGACATCAGCATTTTATGTTGGAGAGGTCAAGTAAAAACAATTTGAATAACCAAGAATTATGACTTTTCGTTCGACTATAATTCAAGTAACTAACTTTAAGTACAGTGCTATCTTGCATCATCCATTCATTCCCTGAACTTTGTACATAAAGCACCATCTTTTCAATAAATAAAATTTTTTATCATCAAAAATCATGTACAAAAAGTCTCACAAGCAAATGAGTTTTTCTCAACAAGTGTTCAAATTCAAAAATTGAATTGAAAATTTAAAAGAAGTAAAAAGAGAAAGACAATGGGCTTTGTCAAAGTTGTGAATATAGAACTGTACAATATTCAAAAATTTAATAGAACGTGGTAGTGAGCGAATTTAAGGAGACATGTGCTTCGTGCAACCTTAGCCCTCTTCTAAAATATTTTCAGAAGAAATAAAAAATACTGTTATATTAGTGTTTCCAGCGTCAAAACTTCAAGCAATCACATTCCCCCCTCAAAAAATCCGCCACTGATAACATGTGTGTTAATAAAGAGAAGAGAACAAAGTAAGCCATATTATTTCTATTGGTTGATATTATCGAATAAAATTTCATATACAAACCTTCATCAATAAAACGTGTACTAGTTTTTTTTTCGTCATATATGATGTACAAACAGGATAAATATCATTTTTAAAAGTTCATTTAAATAATAATAAAACATAAATAAATAAAATTGAATTTAAATTTTGATCTATCAGTTTTTTTGGCGTTATTCACAATAATTGATTTACCATTGAAAATGTAATGATAAGTCAATGTTAGTAGATGTGTAATTTAAGTGCCAATATACTGAAAAATTGATAACATAAAGTGTAGAATAGCGTAAAAATCCATTAACTAGGAATTTTTACTTCGTCTGATTGAATTATGAAGCGTTTTTAATAAGTAGTAGCAAAATCTTTGTTTTGTATGAAAAATATTAAACTTTTTTTTTATTATGATGCTTTCAGTACAAGTTTATCTAAAATTTGATTCGATGATGATGTTAATCCTGTACGTCTTGACTGTGGTGTTGACGTTTTTGGTGTAGCTGTTTTGGCTATTCGATTATTAACACCGATACCTATCGGTGTAAATAGTTTGTTATTTTTTGATATTTCTAAATATGATTTGTGTAATTCATATTCATCATTCCATTTTTTAACATTATAAATGCCTTTTGTTTTAACTAAACGTTCAACAATTTTTGCATTGGTATCTACTCCATTAAAAGGTGAATTTGTTGATATACTTAATTTTCTATTTAACTGTGGTAATATCGTTGATTGTTGACTATTTAACGTTTTTGATTTTTTTTTCATTATTTCAACAAGTTTTTGTGATTTTGTTTTATTTTGTTGTTCAATTTCATGTCGACGTTGAGCAATATTAAAATCACGACTTATTTTCAAATGTGGACATTTCACCGGTGTTTTATTATCAATAGAACTATGACGTTTCATTTCAGCTACTTTTTTCAAATGAGCACGATATTTACGTTCTTCAGTTTCTAACTGAATTAAACTCAAACGATTGACAGTTATATAGCCGGCCATTTAATAGATATATTTAATGCTAAAAAGAGAGACAAAATAGAACAATTTCTTTAACAATTATAGACTAATCCAAAGTTGGAAATCACTTATCTCATTTTTACTTAAAACATTTTATGAAAGTTTTATCAAATTTTTTAGAATAGATTAATTTTTAAAAATATTTTCTTACAAAAAGACCTTGCCGAATAATTTCTTTAAATACATTTAAAATCATCTAAAATTTTTTTATTTAGACGTTTAAATTTCATGTTTTTTTTTCTTTTAAAAATTGGATGATTTTTGTTGGTATCAATTCATTTAGTTTTAACTTACTTTCTTTAATGGATGATAAAAGACAATAATATGATGATTTTTTTTTTTTTGAAGTGGTTAAAGTTTTTGAGCGTATCTTATGTGAAGTTACATAGATCACGTTGTTCAGTTTTTATATAGTATAGACTTGCTTGTTCTTTTTTTTCTCTTTTGACTACACACATATTTTGACTGGAGATGGATATGAATATACAAATTATAAGATTTCATAAACTTAAAAAAAGAGAAAAATGAATTTAAAGTAAATATGAAAACGGATTTCTTCATTGTATAACAACAAAAACAAAATGCTTTTTTCTCTGTCACTCTTTTCTATGTTTTCTTTTTGTTTTTAGCGATTGATTGATTTTAAAATTGTTAAAACAAGTTAACATACGCCATGAATATATATAATATATATATATATATATACACACACACACACACATACATGTTGTAGAATGAACAAATAAAAAAAGAAAAATCATCTGAAGTAAAAAGTGCAGTCACTACAATAAGACATAATAGAAAAGTAAAAACAAAATGAGAAGTTGACTAATGATAATGATAGCCATTGGTCACAATTTATACCTGTGTCACTATATGAATTTCTTTTTTTTATTGTTGTTATTGTCCTAATAGCTTTTAGATATATTATTGTCAATTATATATTATTTTAAATAGTAACATAAACAGTAATACCAATAACATACTTTTTGAAATAATAATATCCGATGTTTTCAATCTTTTAAGAGTACCATAAAAAGACAGTGGGTTAACGATTGATTCTTCTAGCATTTTTTCTTTTCTTTTTTTTTTTAAAAGAGTTTAATAAATTAAAGTGAAACAAATTAAAAAACATCCTCTATGAGGGTTTCCGGTTGTTCTTAGAGACGGGAGGAGCGAAAAATTTTACTTTGCAAAAAAGTGATTGACGAAAAATAGTTTTCGAAAATTTTTGACAGAAAGTTGCTGATGGAAAAATATTAAAGATTTTGCCAGAAAGTTCAAAATAGTTTTAGGAAGGAGCCAATACCATTGTGATCGGGAACCCTGTCCTTTATAGGAGAAAATTACGAAAAAGACAAATAGGCATTCAGTTTCTGACGAAAATCATGACATACAAGTTTGTACCATGTTAAATCTTATATAAAGTTAATCATGGAACTTTTTTAGTAAGATCTATCAATTCGCATACATCTTTCAACTTTCTCTCTGTAAGAAATGTCAACTTTTGATAATAATAGGTGAGTTTTGAGCTAAACATGTAGTTAGATAGAACAGGGTGTCTGCTGTTAGAATTTCATATTGGTTTTAACAATATTGGAGGTTTACGAAAATTTTTGACAATATCTAGAAATTTTAAAAATATTTTTCAATTTCAATTTCATTTTCCAAAGTTATTTTGGCTTAGTTTTACTGTTTTTTCATTTTTTAAAATTGTCATTACTTAGCAGAGCAAAAGTATAAAAAATCACGCTCTAATCGTATTAACTCTCGATACATGTATTAACTTCAATTTAAAACCAGTCCAAGCTCTTTAGTATTCATATTGACAAGAATTTTCTGAAAGTAAGAACAGAGTCATTCTTTTCAACAGATGAAAATCTCTCAAAGAATGAGAATAAATTAAAGAATAAAATTTGATTTGGAAAACAACAAAAACAAAATTCTGTTCTTTGCGCGGTTATCAATTACTCTCTAATATAGACAGTGTGAGCTTTTCAGTTGAACTCTCTCTATCATTCGTTTTCGATGACTAATAAATAAACAGAGTTTGGTAATGATTAGCTTTAGAAAATCTATGCATATACTTAGATCAAATATTAGTGTAAACAAGATTCAAATGTATATTATGTCTGAGTAATAAGGTTTGAAAAAGCATTGAACAGCACATGAAATGATAAACATAAAAAAACAAACAAATTAAAAAATAATTTAGTATTATTTTACATGAAACGTTCCCCATTCATCATTAATTAATTTAGCTGCAGTGAAACTTTAATAGTATAAGGAAATCACAGCTTGGACTATATTAATGAATCATGCATGCAAACTGATGATTCTATTTGAGATGTTCAATTGCTTCCAATCCTTGACATTATAATTTTCATCATAACTCAGACATATTATGCATTTAAATGTTGCATGTGAACCTCATTTATCCAAAATACAACAACACTAAACGATTCGATCTATATTAAAAAGTGGTTGGTGGTAACACAACTATGACTCAAAGTCATGTAACATTAAATTATTGAAGCGAATAGTTATATTATTTTCTTACCCATCTATTTAGCGAGATATACCTGCGACAATTTCCATATACTCTTAGTTAAGATTGTTATAAGAACATTTTTATGCTTTGAAGTAAAATTATTAGTTATAGTACCAGTAAAATATGAGCAAATTTTAATATCATAAAGTTTCATTCGTTTCATCAATTAAAAGTCCACTTTTGCATATGTTAGATGGTGAGCTACTTTTTCACTTAGAATAGGATTAAAATCGCTTTCTGAAAGCCTGAATATATCTGGTAAACAAACATAGATTTACAAAAAACTTTTATATCCACGTTCAAACGACAGATTGCTATACTAAATACGTTGATATCGAATTTTTCCGGTTCGATAAATCGATGAGAAATACTGAAACTACTAAAGAAGTTTTTGAGCATTCGCTTTTTTTTTATCTCCATAGTATTCCACTCGCACTAATTCAAAATCAAAGATTAACGATATTAATCTTCAGATACCCTTTTAACCTTGAGTCGAGAACGATAATATTTTCCATGCATTCAATACTATCAGTGCAACAGAATAGAGACAAAGACTACGTGATTTAGAAAGACAGGAAAATATTTTAGCAGAGCCTGAATTACTTTTCATAATATAAAAAAATGTTTTAGATTCCACTTGCCATTCAAGAATACGTGAGAAAGATGTGAATGTAAATATTGTCTTTATGCAACTTACACTTGATTCTACTAATCAATAATCATTTGTCGTCTTTGATCCATTTTTTCTTAACTGGTACATTCCTTCATTCATTCATTCATAGTATAACCTATGTGAGCAGTTATTTTATTATCATCGCTGATCACTAAACTTTCTTTTAAATAAATAAGAAATATAAAAGCCAAAAATTTTCCATAGAGATATAGAATAGTATCGATGTCTGTGTTTGACTTAATAGAATATCGACCTTAACAAGAATATGTAATGTAGTTAATACGACATCTGATTATAAGTATTAGTTTTCAAATAAATATGATTAATTTTGTTAACAATTTTAGTTAAATTAAATGATCTGTTGAACTCTTTGGTTTAACTTTAAAATAGTTAGAAGAGTATCATTAACTTCTATATCATTTTCATGAAAACGTTTGAATTATAAAAATCAATACATTATAGGATAATCGAGTTTGAATTTTTAATGACACATGCATAATAATAAATAGTTTTATCATATTTGGATATTGATTAAAGGCAAACGTTAGTTGATAAAACTTTCTAAATACATCAATTATACAGTGTAATTTATGATATCGCAAAAAAAACACGGCTAAATCTATTATGTCATCTTTCTTTTGACTATCAGAGTCCAAAACAACGTTATTTAATACTTCTTTCTTTCTATAATTTTGTTCATTTTCACAAAAATAAATAAATTAATGAACACAAAAACAAAAAAAAATAAGAGAGAATAATATCAATCCAAATTACACACACACACAAACACAAAATATCATACTCACATAAAGAAAAGAAGAAAATAAAACAGAATAGGTTTCATTATGACAAATATAAAGGAACATTTTTATAAAGAATAATTTTTTTGTTAGAGAAAAAACAAATAATTAAGACAGAATTCTAATAATGTTTTTTCCTCGTTTTTATATACAAAAAACATTAATAGCATGCAAGAAGAATACTAATTTTAATAGAGTATCAAACAAAAACAAAAAAATATATATTTTTACTTTTAAATTTAGATAAAAATACGATAACGATTAAATTTGACAATCATCAGAATCAACCGAATCTTCTAGTACAGATTTTTGCCAATATTTTAAACGTTGATCAAGAATGGTTTGCCAAACAGTTTGTAAACATTTATTTGGATAACGTATTCGATATGGCAATTGAGGTTTTTGACGTAAAAATATTAAAGCATCACATACTAAAACAGAAAGAAAAGAGAATATAGATAAATACACGATATATTTTTATAGAGTTAACTTACATTGTTCACTGGCACGAAAATCAATAATATCTGACAATAACAACGGTTCACAAATAACTTGAAGAACATTATCATTTAAAGAATTTTTTGATGTAAATAATAACATATCATTTAACAATAAACACCATGTCTATAAAATAGATAAAACAAAATTATATGAAGTTGATGATGTATAGAAATGTAAGTTTTGAATAAAAATTTATCTTTACTAACCTCAATGTATGTCTTCGTTTCATTTTGTAACAATAGAACACCCGAAAAGATGACATGACGATTTTTACCAATTAATGATATTGGCTAGAAGAAGGAAGAATAAATATAAAAATTGACTAATGGATTCTAATTACAAAAAACTTACTTTGATATTTGATGCAAATTGTATTCGATTTTGTAATTCAATTATTTCGGGATCCTCTGATTGTTGTTGTATTGGTATTGTTGTTAATGATAACGAATTTGTGGCACTGTTCAATGTCATAGTTGTCGAAAATTGATGAACATTTGAATTTTCACTAACACGAGATGCACATTGTCGTAATTCTAAAACGAAAAAAACAAAAAAAAATTATATGACAACCGTCACAATCTAAACGATAAATTTTTGACATACCTTTGAGAACATGTAATAAATAATTAGCATCGTTTGGATTTTGACAATTCGAACATAATGAATCTAAGTGTTTTGATAATGTTTCAATATGTTTTAATGGTGTTTGTAGAAATTGTTCAAGCGTTAATTGATGTTGATTTTTAATATTTTGAATAAAACGTTGAAAACTTGAACATTTTTCTAATTGTTTTAATGTATATAATGATTCTGAGTAACCATGTGAATATGTTTCGAATGCTTCACAAATAATTTGAACTTTTTCATAAAATAATTGACCAATATGTTCCACGAGCGTTACATTTGACATTGAACGAAGTTTATTTAATTGATAACGAGATATAGCCAATATCTAAAGATATAACGATAGTTATATAGTTTTCAACAATGTATAGACTTCTATTCTGAGTAATGCTTGCATGGTTGGATGAAATGATGTATTTCGATGTTAGAAAATGAGTTATGATGGAGTTATTTCTTAGAAAATCTTTTGCATTTATTTCTATTTCATTTTTTAACCAAAAATATCTGCTGCTGTTACCTTTTCAATATTTTGAAATAATCTTGAATGTTCTTGTGATGAAATAAGATAATGTTTTAATGGTCTCGAATATAATTGTACACCTAAATCTAATTGTGCTATAAACATTTCTTCTAATTCAACTAATTTCAACGCATCGAAACGATATGATTCGGTTAGTATATTCTAAAGACGCAAATAAATACATAATTACTAAAAGGAAAAAAGCTTTAGTATTACAACACTTACCGATTGATTATTATCATTGTCAATATCGGAGTGTGGTGTACTTTCCGAACGATAACCAATATCTGAATCACCTTCACAAGAACCATAATCATCAATTAATGAAAGTAATAATGAATTTGCTGCTTTTTCACGTCGACGTTGTTTAACGCTACGAATGTTTTCGTCAGATTTTTGAATGTACTGTTCACATCTGCGTAGTGGAGAATCAGTCAACGACATTTTATCCGATGAACAAAATGCATTGTTATATTCATCGGATGATTGATCTTGATCAGTTTTAAATAAAAGCAACGATGTTTCGGGTAATAATTGATGTTGTTCAACGGAGTTTAAAAGTACTTTATCCGGAATTCTTGGCACCATTGAATAACGACGATAAAATTCTAATCTAATCGGGTATTGAAGATTTCTATGAACAAAAAAGAAGAGTAGTTATTTATAGTAATAGATAGAAAAGAATAATTAATGATATACTTCATTAGTTTAATAACAGCTTTTGGTTGAGCACGTGTTACATTTTTATCATTTATTTTCACTAATATATCACCAGGTTGTGGACGAGTAGAAGATGAATGAAGTGACGAACGGTGTTGAATGGATATAACTGTACAAGGGCAACCAAGACCAAAGTGAATCTCATCACGATCGTATACATCGACCTTTAAAAAACAAATAAAAATCATTGACGAACTGATTTTTCCATAGAAGATGGAAAAAATGAAATTTTCATCTGAAAAGTATTGAGATGCTGACGCATACTGAGAAGAGCTTATGCTCAAGATTAACGAATATTCTTAAAGAGTGAGGAGCAAGGCTTAAACGTCCATAGGAAGTAGCTCAAAACCGCAAGAGCAACCAGCGAAAGACTGTTTTCGTTAAAATTTTCTGCTAGAATATTTATTCTAGTAAAATGTGGCAGAAAGTAGCTCAAGAGTAAAGTTTCCTGAGTCTCTCTAATCATGAACCCTTGTGGAATCTAATGTTATATGCGGGTTAAAAATTGCTTAACTTTAACAATATATTTCTAGAAGAACTATGCCCTACCTTTAATAGAAATCCATTTAAACTGTGTTCATAATTCGTTGGTGAAAATATTTGATGATTGTCATGTTCACGTGATTGATGACGTTTGGCCGCCGACGAAGAAGACGATGTCCATTGATATTTGGATATTTTAATATTTACTGCCATACGTTTATGTTTGCCAATACTTTCCGGTAATAAGCAGTACCACTTACATTTTGAAGACTAGAGTTTTAAAAAAAAATTTACTTTCATTGCCACACATTCTACACAGAAGAAATTTTTGTTTTCTGTTTACGTTAGTATGTAGTACAGTACTTCTGTCTCAGCAGAATAGTCCTCTCTTGTTTCTCACACACTAACAGCCCCGACATAATGTAATGAACGATAGTGTGTAATCAGAATATTTTTATTAATGACTGAATATTAATCATGTCATTATTCACACGTACAATAGTAATGTGTTTAAACTCATTTTCGATAATGTGTCAAACAAGACAGATTTTACTCATTTTTAACCAGTTGGGTATCAAAACATGTCTTTTTCAGCACAATGAAAGTTGGCACCAGTCAGAAAAAAAAGAATTTGTACATTTCGAATATTTGCTTAAGACTTTTATTATTCAATAAAAGGCTGTTTCCTTCTCTCAGTAGTATGAAATAAGCTCAAACTATAAGCTGTATTAGAGCTTTATAAAACGAATGTGTCCTGCTGTGCCTTACTATGCCTGTGAAACATCTGGAAAACCCGTCTATCCTACCGAAGCGATGAACAGATATCTAATTTAATTTCAATGAAGTGGAAACTGTACATTTGTACATACTAGATTTACATAGAATATTTCAAATAAAAATAATTCAACTTTTTCTTACCATTGTTCTTTTGGTAAACGTTCTCATATTAAATGACATACAACCAATAAGTTCAATTCTAAAATTTATAAAACGTTTTATCTATTCATATCCGGTTAACTTTATTTTATAAAGAGAAATGAGAAAACAAACTAAAGGAAGTATATGGAACACGTGGTTTGGTACTGGTCACTATGAAAGATGTCTTTTATTTTATTTTCTCTTACTATATGGACGATATATTGATTTCTATATAGTTAGCAAAATGTTATGGCAGAGAGAACAAAGAAAGGACATTCATTCACTCTCATGGTCTAACAATTAGAAATATAAATTTTCAAGGTATGTTTATATAAGTGAAAGATGTTTTCTTCTAATTAGTCTTCTTCTGGTTTTGTATCATTGTTTAGACAATCTTAATTATCCTATTCTCTTCTCGGCAGTGAAAAAAGGCTTATATGTTATGAGGCGGCAACAAGGATAAAAATTATAACTGCGAGCTAATCTATCAGTGAGTAAAAGGTTGATGAATAGTGAACACGATAAAAATTTGACTCAGAATTTATCTTTACATAAAACATGCTGGCAGATAAAAAACGTTTCGATGAATACAACTGAGATGAATAAAGTGAAGAAAAAATAACATACAAAAAGAGATTAGGATAGATATATAAAGATTCCAACTTTACACTATTCTTTTCGTGTAATTGAGATATTAGTCTTAGACTGCTTGGAAGTTTTGAATCAAAAATCTCTCTCGTAATAATAAAGAAAACTTTTTCCGTCTTTGCAACTTCCACAGATAAAGTATTATATAAAAGACTAAAAAAAGTATTCACTCGATACTGACCAGTTAGATAATAACTAAATAGACTAAATAGAAATTTTATGGGAACGCCTGTTCACGTGTGTTACCATACAACAAAAGGAAAAAAAAAGCAACAGACGATGTAGATAGGTATCAATACACAAATATATCACGTATTATCTCTTACATACATATATAGATGAGAAACCCGAAACAGGTGACAAAAACAATCTTCTCTTTTTTGTTGAAAGATGTTCCTATACGAAGAAGCAAAAAAAATAAAATGAAGAAGATTTTGCGTATGTGAATATCTATGATTTAACACTTTATAATCGTTTTTTTTTTCTTCATTTTGTTCGTAAGTGATATAATAAACTGTTATAATGTGCAAAATAAACATTGAAGAAAAAGTAAAGCCTTAGGGATATAAAACAATAACGATAACTTACTTCGAACTCGTTATTTGATTGTAAGTCGAAATAGTCAGTCGTTTCGATGAAGTATATTTCGATAATGGACTATAGAAAAAGCAAAAAAGATTTTGGATTATAAGTTCTGTAGGTCTCTGTATCAGAAAAATAGACAAATATACAGCAGAATTTCTCGTTTGCATCGGTCCTTTAATCTAGCACCATCCACCAGTATTTTTTTTGTTCAAAATTGATCTGCAAGAATTGAATACTTACATGTCAAATTTTTGATCATAAACAGGTGAGTTTGACTTTTTTATAATTTTTGAACATTGTTCATATTTTGGTGTTGATGAAGATGCTGGTATTGTTAACTAAAAGAAACGTTAAGAAAAAATAAAATAAATGATAAATCGATATTATATTTGCGGTTTACTTACTTTTATAAATGTATCGTAGAATTTTTTTGTAGTTGATTCATTAGAATCGGAAGTACGTAACTGTCTGGCACGTATCACTAGAATAGAAGATAAGTATAAGAAACATCATTTATTCGTATACCATGTGGTGTTATAAAGTTTATTTTAGACTAATTAGAAAGTTTAATTAATCAAATAGTAACCGATAAGATGATAAAATGCAGATCATTGAACTTGACAAGAGAAAGAGATTAATCAATTTTCTGTAAAGATCGATGATGGTTACACTGTTGTTTTTCACTCGTTTTTTTTTTTGTTAAACAATTGATAACGGTACGACTAATTTATATTTACAAGGAAATATGTGCTAGTATAGTTGGTTAATTAATTTCAATGAAAATATTTCATATTTAACAGATTTAACTTAAAAATCAAGCATTAAGTCATAATTCTAATGACTATGTTTTGTTTTCAAATCAAGCTGAGAAGATTTATAATGCAAAATGATATACCTTATATTTAAAATGTTTGATAAATTAGGTAATCTTTATTTACAAGTCGAGTTGATGAATTGATATTCACATTTCTCATCAGTGTATATATTATACATATATAATATGCGGAGCACTATACCAGGCAGCTGGTTGCTAATATTTAAATCATTTCAATAATTATGAGCACAACAGATCTATGATTTAATTATCAATTTGCTTATACAATTTAAAACAGCTGGTCATTTACTTTCTACGTTCATTTCAAATAATTGATAGGTGACAAAACAAAAATATCTTATCATTTAAATAATTTTTTATTATGGAATAATCACACTACTTCACTCATACTAGTGAAAACAGATGAAAAATAAAGAGAAGAAAATTTGAAGTATACCTTTTCTACTAAATCTGTTCAAAAAGTTATAATTCATAAAAAAAGAGAAAATCTTGTGCAAAAGACGTTTTATATTTTATGTTTGCTTGCTTACATCGAGAAAAGTAAAACAGGTAAAATACTTATTATAAACAATTAATAATTCAATATATTATAAAGCATACTTTTATAATCGATATCTAATGAATGATATGATGTCATTTATCGAGTAAAGTCTAAAAACTAATTAGATATTATCTATTACTTTCACCTAATATTTTAACGTATCTGTAATCTAGTATTATCTTGTATCTTACCGTGAAAAGTTAGAATATCGTCTGTAGTTTGAAATGCGACGCACAGCGATCCTAGAGTAGAAAACAAAATGAACATTCATTTATAAATGTATAAGTTGTATAATTACATAATAAAGTGTTAAAGTGAACATGAATTTTTTTTTTGGTGAGAAAATATGAACCATATGAATATTCGTTTTACTCATTTCCATTATTCAATCAAGTCATCACTTAATGGAATAATCTAGTGTCATATGATAGGAAATACAAACTCATCGATATACACTCAGAAGAAATCAAGGATTGATCTTACGTCAGATTGCTTACGTAGCAACTCGTGAATTATTTGTTGGTAAATCTAATGATGCATCTTTATGCGCTATAGAAAATCCATTCTTAAGGGATAAATGAGTGTAAGGGATATTATATGATTATATTTACCTAATTTTTCTTTCATTGATGGTATTTTTTCCTGTACTGTTAATAGTGATGGTGGTACATTTTCTTTGTCGATTTGCTCAATATCGTCTTGATCATTATTAATTGGTCCTTCTACACTTGCTGTACTGGATTTTGAGGGTGATGTACAAGGTAAACATGTTGGTAATTTTCGTCGTTTAACATAATCAACAAGCTGTTCTGTTAATGTTCGTTTATTCGAATTTCTATCGGCACAATATATGTTCATTATTGCATTATCATGCATGAATATCAATATTGAAGGATTATCCTGTAGAACAGAAAATATAGTATGATAACACTAATTTTATTTGCTTTTTCTTTCTGCGTTAAAATGAGAAAAAAAAAAAGAAGAGATTTTTGCGTTCTCTCTTAAATTCTATTTGTTGACAAAAACATTTCCACCAATCGACGATCAATTTTTTTTCATTTCGTATATCATATAACTAATAAGTAAGTCATAAGAGACTTAATTACTAATTATAGTGATATGTTATTTAATATCTTTCTTACCTTTATTTCTCTATTTCTATTGTGGACAATTTCATCACTATTATTATGTCCTAGAATGAAACAGGATGTCACTGTGGTAAAAACTGATTATTATATGAATAAATGCATCCGTAGAAGATCAGCTACAGGTAGCTATGATATCGAGCTAGCGAGTAGCATAATCTCTATAGGAGAGTAATATAACAGAAGAGATCAATACGAAATGATATCTAGCCGAGGTAGCGGTTTTACGCCAACCTAATCGGGAATCAATTCATATTTTAATCTCGTGCGCACTATAGACACATTTAAATCAAATAATGATAATAATTCAGAAAATGAAATATATCACTAGATTCCTAGTGTTCAACTAAACTTCAACTAACCGAACAAAAATCTGTGAATGGACAAATGAACGTTGTTAAGCCGTTCAATTTGCTACGTTTTTGACTGTCAAAAGTGAGAGTTAATAGCTTTTAAATTTTTCCTTCGTATTTGAGTCAGATTTATTAACGAAACGTTTCAATATCTTAACATATCTTCGTCAGTAGTTAAAACAAAATTATCTATAAATTGAAAGTTAAGAGTTAGTGATTTAAAATATGTTGTGATTACTCCTCTTTAGACATCACTATATCTTATCAAACAGAGTAGACCGTAGTTTCTTAAAAAAGTTTATTTTCTCAAAACATTTTAAATTAAGAACAACACAGCACAGATACTTTAATGTATCGTTCTGTCTGTATTCATCATCCAATAATTATTATTCACTCTATTTTTCTCTCGCACCATCATACCAGACGCGACACGATAACGACTTCCACAGTTGGATACCAATCAGACGACAGTCAAAATGATTATTTTAGTACACATAATAATAGTGAAAAAAAAACATTGTTGTGTGAGAAATTGGTGAGATTTGAAGACAAAGTAAGACTTTATATGTTGATCGTGGGTGAGCAGATGGATCTTCCTTTTCTGACGTATAATTTCCTTTTCCGTTTTCTACTTTTACTTGACAATCAATAGTGTATATAACCGTGTACGATACTTTGGATTATGTTACACGACGATTAAATCATTTAACAAATTGAAATTAAAAATCTAATTGCTTGTCACACGATGCCATTAATGAAAAAAGAGGTAACTATGATTGATATTGTCTATTTATAAATACCTTCAGGAAATAACTACTTGTATTAAAAAATTAATAATATTTCACACACATACACAATTCAATCTCTGACAACTAAGCGGATCACCTTTACACTATACAAAAATAGTACCAAGGTATGAACAGACCAACAGTTACATAAAAAGTAGATATTTAATCAATGATCAGCATAAGCAAAAATATATTTAGTATCCTATTATGGATCTTTAGGTAACTTTTGAAGAAAACTAAGATTACTTTTTTTATCGAAGCACGGCGAACAACATCTAGTGCATTGAATACAATTTATAATAACTATTCTAAGATATTGTGGTCATTTATGATCAAATGACGTTTGATATCATTCATTGGTATTCGTCCAAAATTTCGTTAATAAAACTACAGACAAGTGTAAAAATAAACGAATATCCAAAAAAACATTCGTTCCGTGTTAACAGTGATCAATATCTATGGCTTTCTCTAGGAAAATTATCTCTCTACATGCCCTGCAGAAACACATGAAAGTAACCAGTCACATCAATATGCTTACATGTATACGTCTTGTTGAATGACACGCACGCGATTCTTTTTTGTGATGAACATTAATGATAAACAGCATATATTTGCAATTGTTGAACTACTAGTCAATATTTAGAACAAACGATAAACGCCTGTAAATATGCACACATAGAGAAGATTAAAAAACTGATATATTTTCAAAACTATATGACTTAGATTAATTAAAAAATGTCGCCACGAGTAGCAACAAGTGAAGCTAAAAATGTGAAAATTTTAAAATGTGTGTAGATGACTAATTTAATGGAACATCCGTTTTTGAAAGAGTCTTAGCCTCACAATGTGTACGACAGTGTAAAAATATACGTTTCTGGAATTTCATCCACTATCATCGGTAAACTCAATAAAAGACAAAAGTAAGAGAAGAGACAAGTTTGATATCAGTATAAAGATGATGTTGTAGCCAATTCTTAGTCACCACTACTCAACCATAGTCAATACTATTCTTTTATCAAACGACTTCATTATATGTACTCACAGACGCTTTCCTAATTGCTCTTGACACTAATTTTTAATTTAAACAACATTGGAGAGTCTAATCAAAACAGTAGATCAATCAATTTATTTGTTTGAAAAGATGCGCGGTCGTATGGCATCGCTTTTTTTATATACACTCAAGTATCGCACTTGAAAACAAAAAAAAAAGATAACTCAAGTGAACTTAAAAGTAACATAGCACACTCGGCATTGTCGTTTATCAATTTTTCACAACTTAGAACAACTGTTCTTCGCTTCGTGAACTCAATTCAGTTCAACAAGTCGGATTCAACAACTAAGAAACTATCATATCGCTTCTCAATTATCTGTACACAGAACTCTTTCATCATATTGTCACTAATGTTTAAGAAAATCAAATGACGTTTTACTTACTGAATTTTGGAATATTGGATTCAGTTAGTAGTTTAGTTGATTCAAATAATTTTCATTATTCTTTGAAAGTAGAATTGTAACCTGTTCTCTCTATTTTATTACAAACGATATGGTCCATTACTCATAATTGTTGACAAAAGCAGAGTTAGAATATATCTGTATCATCATCAAACATAATTTCCGCTATTTTCATCATCACCTGCCTCTTCAGTTATCATTAACTTTTAGAAAATGATTCCATTTGAGCGCGAAAACAAAAAATTTGTTATTGTATTTGCTTGTAAATGATCCGGGTGAACACACGACCGGAATACATGAAAAAATGTATATTGTAAACATATTTACGAGTGAGTCAAATGTAAACAATTGAGAAAAAATTAAAACAGTTTTTTTTTCAAACATATCTTATTACTTCACATTTATGCGAAAAATAAAGATGATTTTTCTTCCTCGATATAACAAAAAGTATTCCCTCATCAATATACAGTCAATCAAGGTGCTGCGATCAAACGTTATGGTAAAATTCTAGAATGATTGTCATTTTTGTACAATTAACACAATTTCTAATCCAATAATTCTCTTTTCTATGTCATTTTTCGTGAGTATCTCACTATCTATTTTGAAAGAGCGGCCAAGTTGAAGTTTATATTCAAAATTAGACCTTTAAATGTCTTTTCTCCCTACTTACTTTTGTACTTAAGAAAAAAATATTAAAATTAATAAAATCTTAAAACTCTTTGTGATTGATAGTAAACTTTTTGAAAATTTGAAGCAAAAATCTTCTCTTAAAAATAGAATTGAGAAAGTACTATTCAAATTATAATTAAAAGACTACAAATACTCAATGAGAATTTTCACGTGTTTAACTTTAGTGAAGGTTGATCTGCCAAGAATTATACAATATTATCATATTATAAAAGCCTATCTTATGTATACAGGTTTAATCTTCTTTAACGATAACACGTTACTTCCTTAATTCTCTAAAACAAAATCAAATTTACTAACATCCGTTAATTCATACGGTTAGTAAACGGATCTCACACAAATATATCATCACGACTCTTTTCCACGTTCACAGGAATCAAAAAAATCATTATAATATTTAAGTGTTTTACATATTATTATTCATAAAGAAAGTAAGACTCACCTGTATAGTGTGTGCCTCTTAATAAATGTCTGATAATACAATTTTTCTTGTAATAATGTATTGTTTTATATTTTTGAATTGAATGATGTACTTCGTTTTTAGAAATTCTTGTCGTTGTTGTTGTAGTTTTTAGTTTATACAATTCTTGAATTTGTTCTAAAAAAAAGAGAAAAATAACACTTTCAAAATTTAAGATCAAGACAAACGCGCGTTAATCTGTTTACAAATGTCTATGTGACTTTTACGTACAGTACTGTGCCGTAGTAGAAAAAGAAAGGAGAATAGGTGATGTGATTATCTAATTGTTCAGATTGAACAAATGAATATTATTCTCACGACATAAACTACAGCAACCGTTTTTTTTTTCTTCTTTCTCTTTAATAATTCAAAAAAACATACACCGCCACGATATACTCAATGAGATTTAATTTTATGGACACGCACGATACTCATCAATAATAGTTATTTTATAGAGAGAAAAACAAACGGTTGAAAAGAGATCTTAGCTAATTGTAGTAGAGTGGCATCAACAGATAAATCACTCTAGTTCTAACTGTTTTTGTCGTTTTGTCTATCACTTACAATTATTGTATTATAAACTTTTCTATCACCTGAGAAGTTATGTACTTCTAGTTGATAGCAACAAATAAAGATGGCATCATCATCTCTGCTGTGCAGATCCATTCTACTGACATATAGAGAAAAATAGGCACTAACGAGGGAACTTCCACAGGTTGCAAATCGCTTTTGGGCTAAAACATAGGTCAGAAGTAATCAAGGGTGCTGATTCCGAATATAACAATCATTTTGGCCGATAGGTCTTCAGAGACCGAATTTCTGGAAAATCAGTTTTTCAAAACTCCTAAAAGATAACCAAAACCTTTATTAATGAGGCAGGATTGTAGTCCGCAAATTTCTAATTAAAATGAGGCCTCTCCGAGCTCTACACGATCTTTCTTTGCAAAGTTATAGAGTTTGCAAGAAAAGCCTTAAATGTTCATTGTCAGCTTGTCGAATTTACGAGAAAAGCCCTAAATTAATTTCTTCTTATTTCTGTAGCTTTGAGCTGACAATGAACATTTAAGGCTTTTCTTGTAAATTCTATAATTTTACAAAGAAAGATCGTGTAGAGCTCGGAGAGGCCTCATTTTAATTAGAAATTTGCGGGCTATAATCCTGCCTCATTAATAAAAGTTTTGGTTATCTTTTAGGAGTTTTGAAAAACTGATTTTCCAGAAATCCGGTCTCTGAAGACCTATCGGCCAAAATGATTGTTATATTCGGAATCAGCACCCTTGATTATCTCTGACCCACTATGTTTCAGCCCAAAAGCAATTTGCAACCTGGGAGATTCCCTCGTAAGTTATATAACCAGTAGCGACAAGTCAAGTATAAAGTAGATTTATTGTACACGTCAGTATTCCATAGAAGCGCCCCAAAGTTAAATATTCGAAGTGCAGTGTTTTCTAGCGTCGTATAAGATTTTCCAGACCTCTTTTTAGATAATAAGACTGAAAAGATCATTATGATTGATAATGACTTACCAAGATACATCGTTAAGTCGTTTAAGACCTCTTAAATTGTAACCGCTCACCATCGATAGCTCATGCAATAATTTCACATTTGCTACGATTTCATGTCGTTACACAGTTATTACTAACTAACGTTCTGTCTCTCTATATTTTTCAATCACCAGTGAGAACAAGTGAGAAGAGTGTCTATGTATATGTATGTCGGTAGAAGATGAATTAGTATCATGTATGAACAAACATATTCTTCATGAGTTAACACACCGTTTGTTTTCTATTGTATATACAATTGTATTATGATTTAGAAAAAACTATTCAGACGATAGATTTGTTGTTTTATTTTATTCGATTGAAAACAACGATGAGAAAAATAGAGTCATTTCACGCTATTAATATGTATCTTATTAGCATTGATATGTCAATTAGATTTCACTTTTACACAAAGCACATCATTTTCTTGCAGTTGAACATAAAAGAAAGAAATGCGGATGAAGAATCAAGTACTCAAGAAGAAGAACAATGGACAATCAATGACGCTACGCTACGTTGTAGAACAAGATCCTGAGAGGGAAATTTAAAGTCGATCAGCAATAGTAACAACACTAAACTAATAATATGCTGCACCTAAAGCTTTGTCTTTACTTTATCTAAACTCGGTGCTTTTTGAACAACATATAACGATTAGTTCTTTTCTCATATCAGAACCTATTCTGCAAGTTTTGTTCTGCTACCTGAATCCATCTTCTTACCTCTCGTGATCTGCAAATAGCCATATTCTGCATCGAAATCAACATTTCTCCATGTTTAGTCATATCCTCTCTCTCTCTCTCTAAAACAATAGTTGTGTATGAAATTTTTAAAGGCAATTGCTATTCTTATACAATAGACATCACGTAATTTTTCAATTTTATTGACTTCCATCATTTACTTTTCTTATCAATTTTAGACTAAATTCCATTTATGTAAAAATAGAAAATCAATTATTTTCGATTACGTGACTACTCTGACTGAGCGGCATGTAAAGATGATTGCGTATGTACATGAAATAAGATATATTTTATTTGACAACTATTTAGTTTTTTGACTGATGATTATGCCAATTGCAGATATAGAGCGTGACTATAGAAAAGAAGAAAACACAAAAATAGCCCCGACATAAACATAGATTGTACTTTTCTAATAAATCAAAATTGTCACGTTTCTCACCTATTTATAGTTAAAGCATTTATAAAATAGGCCATTATCCA